ATAATTAATTTGTAACATATTTATTAACACCAACAAAATGTAAACACTCTGAGAGTAGGAAACTCATCTGCCATTTTTCTACTATGTATTCAGTGTGTCGGATGGTTCTCTTTCAAGCACATTCAGAAGTACTTGTCAGTTAAGTGACTTAAATCAATTTCTTCAAACTCAATTTATGCCAACATATATATTAGCTAATCCATCCAATTCAGATGATATGATACCACGCTTTTCTTCTAACATACCCTTTCCTTGCTTCTTTACACTTCAGCTGAGGCAGCTTTCAATTTCTCATGAATACCAGAAACTCTCTCTTCCATCACATTCATCCTTTAAGTGATCAGGCCACACCCCCTTCCCCTTTGGCTTCTGTCACAACCTCCAGGAGATGCCATCCCTCCTAGTCCTCATCTTTTCCCTCCACATCCTTCTACCTAGAGTGTGATTTCCAGGGCACAGTTCTGCAGTACTGTGCTAGAGATATGAAAAATAAGTGGAGAACACATTATATCGATGCATGTAAGAGAAGAAATGCTTGTATGATATCCAGAAAGAGACCCGGGTATCTGATATATATTGTCAGCCCAATTTTCAAGAGAGTCCATAACACCTCAAGAAATGAGGCTTTCTCAAGAAAGACTAGAGATATTTGATAGAAGGAATGAAACATTTTTATTGAGAATAAGGGATTTGCCCAAATGTGGGATGTTTGGATCCTTGCCACAGTCACACCACAGATTCCATACTAAGGGAGTAAGACCAACACTTTGTGGAAAAGTGTTAGATGATCCTCCATAGCCTCAAGCCACAAGATGCCATGCTACAAATGTTACTGGAGGTCAAATCTTCTTTTTTTTTTTTTTTTAATTTTTTTTTTCAACGTTTTTATTTATTTTTTTGGGACAGAGAGAGACAGAGCATGAACGGGGGAGGGGCAGAGAGAGAGGGAGACACAGAATCGGAAACAGGCTCCAGGCTCCGAGCCATCAGCCCAGAGCCCGAGGCGGGGCTCGAACTCACGGACCGCGAGATCGTGACCTGGCTGAAGTCGGACGCTTAACCGACTGCGCCACCCAGGCGCCCAAATCTTCTATGACACATGCAATGCTCTCGATATATAAATCTTGGGGTATAGATCCTTGAATGAGCCTTCTCTTAAGGCGTGTCATTTCCGAAGCAAGTGGGGATTAGACAGTGATGTTCTAGCAGCAAGAAGAATAACATCTTCTATAGTAAAGTGGCCGGTAGCCACAGCAGCTGGAGCCATATCCACAGCCAGAGCCACAGCAGGAACCATATCCACAGCCGTATCCTGAGCCATAGCCACAGCCATAATGGAGGCCATAACCACAGCCATAATAGGGACCACATCCACAGCCATAGCC